GATTTAATTATTGAGGGGATATTAAGTACCCCCATATTGGTGTTTTTGGAAGATATATTTTGCCCTCCAAGCAATATTATTTGGTTTTTACTCTCTCTTGTGCCTTTTGTCTCAAAATACACACCTAATATTTTTTTATATTTTGCCCTCCAAGCAATATTATTTGGTTTTTACTCTCTCTTGTGCCTTTTGTCTCAAAATACACACCTAATAATTTTTTATGTCTCTCTCAGCAGTCATTACTAATAATTTAATTTCTCTCCTTTTCCACCAGCAATTCACCCTCAATTCATAAACATACCAAAACTCCTTAAAACTAAATTTTACACCTTTAAAAATTACTCTAGTAACAACTCACCCTCATTTTTTAAACCTCATACCAAACTCCACCCAAAAGTTAGCACATGGTGCAACTTCACAAAGAACCCCAAAGCAGAGAATATGAGTGATTGACTAACTGATACTTTGAAAAGCATGGTGACGAGGTCATAGATTGTGTCCTGATAAAAATTTTGAGGAAAATAAAAAAAAGAAAAAGAAAATTAATGCCTACAGTTTTATGCCCTTTGACAGCACTTTATGAAATGAGCTTACTTTAGAGTCTAAACTGTTTTTTTTACCTTAGAGTTTGGGGTGATTTAAAAACATTATTCAACTAGCCATGCTACCTGGACTCTTGATAGAGTAGGGCTACATCAACAATAATTTGATTAACAAACATGATAGGGTCTTGCTTCAACCATGGTTGATCATTCATAGTAAGTGCAAATTGTTAACATGTTTCATTTCACCCATGGGACCAACATGAGAATAACGAATAGATTTTTCCATCTGAAGTTATCATAAGCTATATAAAAAAAACTACCAAAATATCATTACCACGATTATCAAATGTTTCTGGCAAAACAAGGATCACAGAATACATGTTTCTTTCCGAGTGAGGGATATGCAGTTTCTCTATCAAAATCCAATCCCAAATAGCATATATGTCCTCAAGCACCTAAGCAATAGAAAATAAGAAAATACCAGTAAATAACTAGAGCATGGTTTCTTATATTATGGATATGCTAAACTGTAGGAAAATAATGCAACAATGTTAAGCTTGGTACACATCAACAACAGACACACAAGGTTGCGGTACATAATAGCACTTTCCAAAGAGGAAAAATAGTACTGTTTTTCTCCTTCAGCTGAAAAGGGCACATACAAATGAAATCATGTTTGTAAGATAATTAATGCAAGGACGAAACCTGCTGCAAAGGATAATGTTGTGAGATGTTGAAATGACCTCTGCGAATAGGACGGCTTAAGCAGTATGGCTCTGTTGGGGAGATTCTAAGCGCTTCTTCACCAAAAATTTGTCCTCTGAATTTGAGTTCCCCTGAACTAATCCCCTCAGCATCATTGCCTTCATGTTTCTTCACATAACCACTTGTACCTTCATTTTTTGATGATCCTGCACAAACAATTTGCATGTATTAGGATCTAGACACAAATTCACTTGAAACTAATTAATAGGAAAGCCGTAATGCCTGCGAACTTATTTTTTATCAGATGTGGCACAAAAATCAAGAGTAGTCAGAAACCCAGAATACAAAAAATACAACAGGTAAATAAGAATCATCACTTGAATGAGAAAGTAATTGATGCTTCAAGCTCTATATTTAAAAAACAGTGTAACCATAAAGATCACACAGCCAACATATATTATTTAATGCCAGACAATAAGCACAGACAACACCATAAAAATGCAGTCTATCAATCAAGAGCAACCTATGCAAAGGAATCACTATGAAATGTGCCAAGGATCTCCTATCTGAAGTCAAAACCACAATCAAAATAAAATAATCCATCAATAAAATCTACTATCTATCCAAAAAAATTTGACGCAGTCTTTTGACCCTGCATAGGGATGGTAAACCATTGGCACGGATGACTTGGGGGTGGGGGGCTACCAAATAAGTTCTCATGTGATGACCACCCCAAAATGAAAATGTTACATCTGGCCCTTCGAAACATCAGATTCTGGATTTTTCATTGCCTTGGTACCATTTTTTTTCATAGCATATATTTAAAGATAACAGACTCCATCTTCATGTAATCTGGCCCCACCAGTTCTAAATTAGTCCAATTCAAATGTAATTAATAATATACAAACCTTCAAACATGACGCAATAATATTAAATGAGCAATAATGGTAAACTGCACCAAGATTCTATCATGACTTCTGAAGTAATTAGAGATGGTATGTCATACACTTTCCAGGTCAAAAAAGATGCCCACCAAAAGGTTTTGAAAGTTTTAAAGATGGAAACATCATAACTAGTACAAAAAGTAAATCAGTTTATCATAACTCCCATGTATGTTAAGAGAGAACAACATTCATTCTATTACCTAAAGCCAAAGAGGAATTAGTGTCCTGCTCATATACATTAGCCCATTGGAAAGCCACACCCCTGCCACTCTGTGGATTGTATCCATCAACACGTCCTATCTGCAGTATGAGTTGATTAGTATAATTCCATAAGCAATTTCTAACCATTAACTGAGCTGCATGTCTATAGCCCCTTGTCCCTCTAAACTATATACTTTATACTCAATTTAATAAGGTGTATGAGACAATGATAACAGTTGCTTTTCAAAATGTTTTTCTCAAAATAATATTTTTAAAATTTTTTAAAATTTAATTTTAACATCAACACATCAAAACAATGAAAAAACAAAAAAAATAATAATTTAAGGAGAAAAAAATCAAAAAATTTTAAAAGTCCGGTTGAAACCCTAAGAATCACATACATAACCACAAAAAAGCAGGATTGCGAAAAGGGAACTCCAGAGACAGTGCCACAGTTGTCAGAGCCTTCTAAACAAGTTAACAGAGTAGCAGCAATTCTTCCAAAGTGGAGATTATAAGAATAATAATAATACCAGAAAACCGATATTGTTCTACAGACCACCATGACAGAGACTAAATTAGGCTGAATGGATTAGTAGTAGGTACCTTGCGTGGGAAAGAATTGTTGGCAACCTCTTCATCCAGAAAAGGTATTTTCAATAACGATGCTATCTTCAAGAAAAAAAGAAGGGAAAAAAAAATCAAGTCTTACACTGTTCCTCGGCAAACGTAGAGAAAACAAATGCGAAAAGCACGGAGTTAACTCACTATATCATATGCCTTCTCGCGTTCCATGTGCTGTACTGTTGTTATCTGCGAATTCAGCATCTAAACGCGAAAAAAAATTAACAACAAAACAAAGTAAAGCTGTAAAAAGGTAGAAAAGTGGTAAGTAAGAACTGACCTGATCTTGGACTTTGAATTTGGGAATTTGATTAGTATAACGAGCAATGCAGTGAGGAATATTTAACGGTGCATCTTGTGTAGCTAATCCTATTCGGATATTTGCAGAGCCTAAACCAATTACAATTAACAAAATTAAAAATCGGTTATATTTACTTGCTATAATGGATGATGATTTGATTTTCTAGGGTTCTAAAGTGAAGTGAGTACCTGGATTGATGACTACTAAATTGGATCCTCGGTCGGAGACGAGCTGTGAAGGGATTACCGTCTTCAAGTAATCCTGCCATTAAACAAAAAAAAATGCTTAGCAGTTTGACTTGATTTAAAAAAACGAAAAGAGAATTGTTGGCGCTTTTACCATTTCTGTGAAGAAGAGGAGAGCCACAGGAGAGACTTGTTTTAAAACTGGCTGTCCTCACTCCACTTCGTCTGCGTCTCTTCCTTCTATTTACTGTCGTCTTCGGCGTTTTGTCCAAGAACGTTTCTTTATTACTGGAGCGAGCGATTTTACTTCGAGGGAGAACTGAAAAGTGAAAACTAACTGGTGTACCTTTAGCTAGCAATCATTTTTGAACGACACGTCAATTGCTAACTCTTGCAAAGTTATTGCAACATTCTGAATTTTATTTTATTTTAATTGTTAAAAAACAATTTTTACATAAAGGGCATTGATTTCTTTTGTTCGACAACATAAAAAACATTTTCGATCTCAAAAATACACCCTATATAGTATATTTAAACGAACTTAATAAAATTGTCAAAGTAATACGAACAATAAAATAATTATTGTTATTTTAATGTTTAAAAACTTGATAATAATTGTTTTGTAAAATATTTTTTTAATATTATTATAACAAAATAATCTAAAAACGGTAATTAACGAACAAACTCTAAATTTAACCTCAACTAAATTTTATTTTAAATGTTTGGTATTAGAAGTTAATTAATTATTAACTTGAAATTCTAATTTTTTTAATGAAAATTTTGATGAAAAAAAAATTGATGTAAATATATTTCATGTTTTTAATCCAACTCAAATTAAAAAAACTTATTTAATTGAGAAAACTTTTTTCATGATCACCGTCAACCACTTTTGATCTCAAATTTATATTATTATAACAAAATAATCTTAAAACATTAAAGATTAACCAACAAACTCTAAATTTAACCTCAACTAAATTTTAATCCATGTTTAGTACTAGAAGGTAATTAATTGTTAACTTGGGACATTGCTTGAAATGGTTTCGAACAATAGACGAGCGAGAACCCAACGGAACATGCCGGGTAAAGTAACCAGGAGGTAATTTTTGGAGGTGAACGTATTGATAATCGTCTGGCCCCCAAAATTAAATAAACAGAATACTTTTCTGGTTTAGGAAAATTACTCGTCTAATTGGGTAACTGAGGCTTAAAAAATATTAATCCATAACCAACCATTCACAAATTCACGAAAATCATATCCATATTCTAGCTTAACAGATGATAAATAAATTTCATTTGATAAAATGGAAAGTAAATCGAACCAATTAAGTGTTTGAAATGACAGTATCACACCCTGTGGCCCCCCCCAACAACAACAAAAGAACTAACAAATTTGGGTATCTTATAGATAGTATATATGATGTGCAGCCACTCGACACCGTGAAAATTTTCAGCACCTACAACAATGATCCAATCTTTAAAGTTTGCTTCTTCGTTATGCCTACCCCACTTTTGCCTTGGGAGTCTTCTTCTTGAGCTGTCGATTTGGAATCAAGTTCTTCATCCCTATGAAGAAAAGCAATGCACCAAAAAGTGCAACGCTCTGCAAAAACATCACAAACCCAAATATAAAGGTGATTTCCCGGCATAAATGCAAAATAGAAGAACAAGAGAAAAGGGGAGCTAAACAACATCAAAAGGTCATATGTTAAGACAAACCTGCAAAAATTCATTTAAGAGAACGAAGTACTTGGACTCATCCCGATCATAGTCATAGAAGTTGTACAGAATTGGGGAGGAAAGCGCCAAGTAGGTAAGCTGAAGCATAAAAGAAATACTGAAATAGTTACTTCGATGATGACTCTATGAATCAGAAGCAGCTTCTGGGCAGGGCCAAGTAATGATTCATCGCATTCTAAAGGCAATCAATCAAATAAAGACCCAAAGGAAAGGAAAATCTAACCAGGAGATAAGCACCAAAAGGGCTGCCAAATACAAATAAAAAGCCCCCAAGACCTTTTAGAACAATCACGCCCGCAACCAAATGTCTAGGCTGCATAAAATACCTCTTAATCAGAAAGTGAGCAGCATACAAAGTGAAACGACACAAAAAAAAATATGCAAGGATTACAGAAGCAACAGGTTAAGAGGAAAAGTACTTACATCAATGTCCGGGACCACTACCCCCAATTGAGAGGAAATATGCCTCTTGACAATAGCAAGCTTGGAAATCAATTCCGGCACAGCAGGGCCACCATCTTCGCCAAATTCGTTAAACCTAAGCATATACAAAGCTGGAGTACTCAACAACCCCGGTTAACCGTACAAGAGCATTGCAAATTCATGACTATATGGATTTAGTCAAGCACTAGTTTACCGATAGCATATTGAACATCAAAGTTCACAGAAGCTAGTATCACCTAGCTTTTTAGTTCAAAAAATACCATAAACCCCCCAAGCTAAATAACGAAGCTCGACAGAAAATGGTGGTTTAGAAGCTGCCAATCATTAGGCATGCGTTTTGAAACATTAAAAAATCAGAACACGGTTTTAGATGATAAATCATTGTTACACATCACATTGCTCGCTCTAGGAGCCACCATGAAGATCAATTTCAGCAGTAAAATCAGACTTCAAGAATGCACAAGGGCTTCTTTGTGCATTTGTCCATAAATATACTAAAAATGTGACTAAATAATTGATCAAGTAATCATCAGCAGAAGCAATTTTCCACTTAAGCGAGAGGATTCACGGCATGAGGCATTTTCTCTTTGCTAATGAGGCGATAAAGTTAAACAAATTAAAAAGTTTGAACCCAGTTCCATAATGGGTTGAGCATCTAACAAAAACAAAAAACCTTAAGCGAAAACAGCAATATAAAGACATCAACAACTAGTATCGGATCTGGGAGAAAGGGGCCCAGATAAAAACACATGAATCCTTCTTAACAAGCTACAACGAGACGAAAAAGTAGATAAAATTAAAGAGATTTAAAAGAGAGAAAGGGAGTGATGGTGTACATTTGCCAAGCTGAGAGGATGAAGAGGGAAGCGAAGAGAACTCTGCCGAGAAAAGAGAAAAACCCCATGCCTGTCACTCAGTTGCTCTTTTCCTTCTCGAATCTATGTGGGTCTCTCTCCTTGTACGTGTGTTTTTGAAATTAATTTCTACAAGTTTTCAGCTGTGGCATGTACGCAGCCAAAAACAGGGTTGGTCAGGCAAAAGAATAAACGCCAGAGGGGCACGCCCTTTACTATTATTATCTAATTGTAATAATTAGGTACTGAACTTTCAGTCAATTACCAACTATGCCACCAGTATTTCCAACACAATTAGAGATCGATCATTCTTTCAACCCCATAATTTCTTCTCAATTCCAATGAAAACCAAATTTAATCTCCGGTGATTGATAAGATAGCGCAGGTTAATGTTGTTTTTTAAAATGTTTTTTTTATGTATTAAAATAATATTTTTTATTTTTTAAATCTATTTTTAATATTAAAATAATTCAAAAATAAAAAATATTCAAAAATATTTTTTTCACCACAGAAACAAACCGAGATATATTTCCAAATTGCATGCAATAAAAGGTAAAAAGGCCAGGTCCAAGGAGGTATGTGATTTTGTGTCGTGTCATTGGGCATGCTTTGTTATGGTTTGAGTTAGGAGATAAATAAAATGGATTTCTTTTTTATAAACCACATCCCTCTTTCCCTTTTTTCTTTTAAAAGGTATTATAAAATAAACTTTCATATATTGAAATTAAATTTTTTTTTAATAATTTTCTTAAACAGCTTATCTATATTCATAAAAAAATATTTTATTATGTTTTTTCCTGGGATTAAAATCATGGATGATAACGTGGGAAACATATTCTCTTGCCTATTAGGTTAGACCTGTAAAAGTTAAAAGTTTTAGGTAATAAAAATATGATTTTGTATCCTAGCTAGCATTAACTTCTTCTTTTTTAAGGTTTTAAACAAGTTATATGCATATTCACATAAAATTATTTTTATATGATCTCTCATGGGATTCGAATCATAGATAATATATAAACTAGCCATTTTGGCAAAGCCCCCAGAGGTACCAGGAATGTATAGGCCAAGTCCCAGTGTGCTGAGATTTTGAGTTTTTATCACAAATTTCCATTAAGGCCATGATTTTTTTAGATTTAAAAAAAAATTGAAAAAATTTAAATTTTTTATTTTTTTAAATTAATATTTTTTTTATTTTTAGATTGTTTTGATGTGTTGATATAAAAAATATTTTTTAAAATTATTTTGATATTTTTATAAGCTTTTATGAAACAAATACGGAAAAAAAAATGATGAATTTTAAATTTATAGTTTTATACTTTTAAAAAATAATATCAATAAAAATTTTATTCTAGAGGTTTTATATAACTTCAAATAAACTACAAAATCTATCTCAATTAAAAAAAGTAAAAATCTAAAAATACCAAGGAAATAACAATAAAATTCAAAATAAAATAAAAATCTAAATTAAATAAAAAAATAACAAAATTGCTCAAACCACTGAGAGCAAGAATTTTAATATTTCAAGATGCGATAATTTGTATAGCGTCATGAACGCTACAATAAAAAAAAATACTTCTAGAAATTCTTGTAAAAATCAAAACTTGATCTAACTGTAAAATAAAAAATTATAATACTTTTAAGTTATTATATAATATAACATGACCAGATTTCTTCTTAAATTTATACTTGTTTTATTGGTTTATGAATATATATACTAGATCATCAACATAAATTATCTTGAAGAGATCAGTATCTAAGTGCAGCAAATCCACTCCTGATTCCTCCTAATCATCTACTGTCCCGAGCTTGGCTACATCAGTTTCTCATCCTTTGTTAATATCGTGGTTCGAAAGTGAACTGCTTGACATTTCTTCTTGTTAATATGCTACTAGCTCTCGGAATCAAAGCTCAGATAAGTTTATACAGAAAAAACCAAGTTTGAAATAAACAAACCAACGACATTGGATAGTCAAATTCTATTGCATATATCAAGAGTGTTGATATATATATGCCAGCATCATTGGAGCTAGCACAAGTTTATACAGAAAAATCCAAGTTTAAAATAAATAAGCTTCCATCATTGGAGAATTACAAGCTAGTCAGATTATATTACGTATATCAAAGAGTATTGATTCTATCAAAATTATTTCTTGGAGTGAGGCTTGATTGTTTGATGAATCTTTCTCCTTTTTATTATCAGCGAATTCTACAATACCGTTCTATCTCTTAGATATTAAAATAAAAGGCTAAAAGGATCGGGAGTTTAATTGTAGCTCTACGTAATTGCTGAATTAAATTATTATTATTATTATTATTATTATTATTATCTTGGAGTTTGGATTTGTTGGTTTTTTTACCGGTTTATTAGTTATTAAAAAATTATTTGAGAATGTATATGCATTTTTATTTTTTATATAATAAAAATATTTTTTTACCTTGGAACTAACAAATTTCATAACTGTTGACCCGATTTTTTTTTTATCCTTTCACAGGGTCCTTAGCAGCAAGAATACTTCTTTGCTCCCGATATTAAAAAAAAAAATACTGAATTGCCAAGTAAGGGTATTTACTGTCTCTCCATCACCCATGTATAATAAAAACATGTTTTGAATGTTATAAAAGACAAAAAAAAAAAAAAAAACGTTGCATTTAGGAGTGCGATAGCATTTTTACACCGATATTTTTGCAATTAACATGGTCATAGAAGTTTTTTTGGTATTTTTTATAATTATTTTTTATTTTTTAATTTAAAAATTTATTAATATGTATTTCAGAGGAGTTAATAAGTAAGTGATATTAATACTATTTAGATAGTGTTTTTGACACTATTTGATGGTTAAATTTAGTTATTTATCATCTCATTAGATGCATAAGCATTTCCTCTTTCATATGGTGTAACACGTGTATCCGTATGGTGCTTAAATTGTTACTAATGATTATTTATTTTTGTTTTTTTTATTGATATCTAAAGTATATTATTATCTTTTTTGTTGTTTGATTCTTAATTTCAATATCCATTTTTTCAATTTTTTTTTGTGTTTTTATTCATTTTATATATTTTTTTCAATTTAGCTCTTAAAATGCAATTTGTTATATGTTTTATATTTTATGTTAGTTTTTATTCTTTTAATTTCTCATTCTATTCTTATTCCTTTTATAGTTTCAATTTTCATTCTTTTAATTTTTAATTTTAACTTTTTTTCAATTTAGTCATTCAATTTTGATTTATATATACACACGATGTTTTTCCATTCGATCATTCTACTTTAGATTTCTTATTTTTTTCCTAGTTCTTTTATCAAAAATTTTATAATTTATAATTTTATCTTTTAAATCAAATTTAATTATTTTTGCTAATGATATTTGCATTTCTTTAGCAAGGTCTCAAAGAAAATTATCGATGTTCTCCAATTCTCTTATTCATATCATAGTTTTTAAATTTTATTTGGCTTGACAAGTCGATCCTGAATCTAGAGCTGGAACCAAACAGAGTTTACAAAAAAAATAAAAAAAGTAAAAAATTCAAGTGACTTAAGGGGTTGATCTAGTAGGATTAGGTAAAAAATTCAGCTATAATCAGCTGGCTATTTATTTATTTTTTAATCAAATAATATTATTTTAATTTGTAAATTAAAATTAAAATTGATCCAATTAATCCAATTAAAACCAAATGACCTAAAAAAAACTTATAATCTAGATATCGAGTCGGCGGGTTTAAAAACTTATATTCAAATGTTTCAATTTGGACAAAGGACTGCATATTATATTCTTCCGCCAGGACATCATCGTTGAAAATGCCACTAGATCCATCATTTGCATCCTAACCTTGAAGAAAGGGTGAAGGGTGAAGCATGCTGCAAGGTAATATCCTCGCTTTTGCTTCTGCATGAGCGGGTTCTTGGCTCGCCCTGTTGTTATTGTAAGCTGATTTTGTTAAAAAAATAAAAAAAATATTTTCTTGTTGGTTTTTGTTTGGGAGGCCCGCATTGAATTTGATGCACGAGGAGCGGGCAAGGCTAGGTGTCACTTCTAATTCAAAAATCTAATCATGATCTATTTTATATATAAGTGTCTTTATTTATTTATTTTTTAAAATATGGAGTAGTTACCATTTATATACGTGCCCCCAACAATTATTTTTTGGAGATAAAGGGTATAACTGTTGATTTGTCAGCAAGTTTTCTGGACTGAAAATAAAAATTGAAGTGTAGATGCCGGTGAGTTGTTATATTCATGTGCGCCATCACTTTTCTTGAAGAGGTTTGGCACCTTACCTGCCATTTTCCTCATTAATTTTTTCTCGTGAGTTCAGCTTCGTTGACGAGGCAGCCTTGATTGAATAATAATGGGATCCGATCGATGGGAACATGGCAATGGCTGCCTGACTCATTCACAGCTTCATGCTTTTTGCCCCTTTTATGAATTCTATAAAACTTTCCTAGCAAGTGCTTTTGCTTTAGAATTGTCTTTTTGACGTGCCCTGAACCGTCGTTTTATTTATTGTTGTCCTCTAGATCTGATTTCTCTGCAGGTGCTCCTGCTTTTGGAGGAAGCAACGCCGATTCTTTGCCGTTAGAAATTGCATTTCCAAATATTTTTTAATTATTTTTTTCGAGGAAACAGTGTTTTGGCCGCGTTGTGACAAAACATCTATTGATCGTGGCGTGGCAAAAATTCCCGACACGTTCCTGCTGTGAACTCGGGTTCTGAAGTTCACGACGCCAGAAGCCAATGGTAATTTAGCACACCACTAGTCTAGTTTTTTACCGGTTATCATTATAATAATAATAAAAAAACCGGAAACAATTTTAAAATTTTAAAAATTATATTAATGGTGTCAATTTAAAATGTTTTTATTTAGAATTATATTAAAATAATTTTTTTTATTTTTTAAAAATTATTTTTAATATTAATATGTAGAAAAATTAAAATTATTTTTAAAATATTTTAAAATATAATTTATACGACATTTTCAAACACAATCAAACATTTTATTGGAAAAATTGTTTTTTTGACCATAAAATTACTTTATTTTTTAATTTAAAATTATAAATTGACAGTGATCTTGATGGTTAAATTGAATATGATATTTTATCCATCTATTATAAAATCTGTAAGAGAAAAATCATTTGTATTTTGACCTAAAAAAGAGAAATCCCATTCTTTATACACCTTTTAAGAGATTTGA